ACCAGAATATATATGGTTTAGGGTATCTTGACCATTTACAAGATATTAGAAATTTCCCAAATTGCAGGGGGTGGGGTCTTCATTATAGTATAGTTCCATCAACATTGGTCCATTAAATTCCGAGAACTAGCGCGGACATGCCATAATAAGAACTGAGCAAAAACAATAAGTCTTCCCAAACTTCGTTTGAGAGACTTAATTAATCAAATCCAATGACAATATAGGTGATCATACCATATTACTATCATAAAGATATAAAGATTTCCTGAGTTGTTGAAATATAGAAGTGAAAGATTAAATTTGGACATCATTATTTACTGCTTGCATTTCCATTATCCTGTTCTTACCAAACTGCCTCTATGAATGGCCCGGGCCATAACTAGTTTTTTGTTTGTTTTGAGGATAATTGATTCATATATCATAAGTAACAGTTACGTAAAACAACTTTCATGGATTTTTGTAATATCTATATATATATGCATTGTTGAATAAAAGGAATACAAACAATTATAGAACTTCTATTCACATATCAATATCTTGTAGCTCTGAATAATCTGAAAACATGATATATTTTTGTCTTTGTAGCACAGAACATTTACCCATCTTTTTGGAAACAGGATTGGTTTGCTGTGGCTTCAGCTTTAGAGCATACTCTTACAACTATAAAAAAAACAAATGCCACAGATTCAGGAAGTGTTTTTGCGCTCGGATTATGCAGGTTGCTACCACTGTTGATGCCTTTGGTTGAGTTTACAAGGAATCAGTGAGCGCACAGGTATATAAATAAGTAAAGTGTCATAATTTTCTGTACATGTGCAATAATTAAAAAAGAGTAAGGAACAACACCTCTTTGTCTGTCACTCCCTTAAAATATATCATTTTCTTGTCAAATTGAAATGTATATTAAAAAGATGGGATGATGATAACACGCCTGCATGAGAAACTCAGAAGTTTCAACCAAATAAAAAATTATTCTATAAAAAAAAGAAAACCTTATTTGTCAATCTGGAGATTTCTTTTCCAAATAAAAGACCATTTCAGAATTTTGTTGAAAACATCACAATATAACCAAAAACAATGTGAGCCTCAGTGGCAAAATGGTCTAATATGTTCGTCTTTTGTTATCACTAGCCAGTCAACACTGAGGTTAAGAGTCATAAACAGCTAGCATGGGTCCACAAGATTCCAATCTTAATCTCCCTATCAAAGGTCAAAGTTTTGTTTGAATTATGATCTGCTGATAAACCATCAAAATCAGAAGTGCAAAATTGGAAGCATGATGGTCAGTTTTCTGATAAATCTGGTGTATGTCCGTATCTAATTAAAAAAAAAATCTGTACAATAACTTGAAGGTGTCGAACAATTTGATTTGAAACAAGGATATATAAAGTTGGACAGATGCAGACAATGTACCAATTTTGATAATTGATTTTTTTTAGTACGAAATGTTCTTGTTATTAGAGTTATTGCCCTTTGTACACTTTTCTGATACAACGTCCATGATATATTCTAAGAGTGATAAATGAAAATATGTTTTATGTTTCAGGTATAAGAGTTGCACGTTACGACTTTAGTGAAGCACAGTCAGGAAAGAGTATCTGTGATGCAAAGATAGCCCATATGCGATTGAAAATGCGCATGTATGTATCATCAGGGAGAAACATCACCAGTCCTTTTGAAATTCAGGCAGCAATTATGGATGGAACTGAAGTCAAAGCTTGCCAGTGTGCAGTTGTAGAGGTTGACTCAACAAAACAGACTATGACATGTCACCGCATTAAAGGAATTAACCAGATGAATAACATAGCTTTTGATGGGGACGATATAATTGTATGGCAAGCCTTTAATGAAGGTATTGGTATACAGATGCAAAGAAGTAAACTTTTGAAAGATGAGCAGCTTGATACAGGATTGAAGGTTTTGTCAGATTTTATAGGTGCTCAACAAATAGCTGGGAATATTACCAAGAAAAGTAAGGAAAATGCAACTGGTGATACTACTAAACATATTGAACAGTCAGTTTTTACTGTGCACATCTTGGTTGCGCAATGCAGTTTTCCTCTTATCAAGGTTTACAGGACCACATCGATCTTGGTCGTCATTCTGATGAAAAGATGTTCACTTATGATAAGATAAGTCACTGTTGGGTTGCTACATGCCAAGCAAATCTTTTCTCTTCAAGAGAAATTTTGAGGCGAACCAACCAAGAAAAACTGAATAACATCACTCCCAAGAAAATGACATACAATATGGATGGGATTTGAAGAAGGAGAAAAAAATTGTGCGCTTCGACTGTAAAGTGGAGGAGTTTTTACAGAATACTTACCAGGATGCAGAAGTATCTGGAAGGAAAGCGAATCCATCAGATGTCAGTCAACTTATGAAGTCTTTGCGCAAACACAATGGTGAAGGATTATTTTCACCAAATGAATGGCTGCAACCTTCACAAATAAATTCATATTTTGCACGTTTGCCAATTGTACCAAGGGATCAAAGCAACAACACAGACATTATTGATGAGGACCTTCAATGCATTGAACGGGCTATTGAGGAAGAGGAAATCAGGAATCTTGTTACAGCTACAGTTAGTGAATGAACAAACTTACAAATTTGAATATGTCTTGCAGCATTCTATTCCTTTTGTAAATTTGTATTTCATTTTTACAGACTGGACTGTTTTAGTGCTCATTACTGATTAAAGTTTACATTTAAGTTCATTATTCTAAAATGTGGTTGTAAGGATGATTTATTTTTGTATATATAGGTATATTTAGGATGAAAGGTCAGCATCTAGGCAAAAGAAGGTCACTTGGACCTATTTTTTTACTTTTCTTGATTTATTGGTTTTAGTTTTTGTTAATTTTTCAGAACCAATCGGTCGTCAGTAAACTAACCTTGATGATTCAGATATGCATTTCATAGTGGTGACTATTTGAAACAATTTCTAATTTTAAAGACCTATAGTAATTTGATTTTGGTAAATTCTATATATGATTTACAAATTCTAAAATATGTCATATTAGGATCTATTTGTTACCACCCTTATTGCACACAGTATTTAGAAATTATGTAGATAAGTCTGTTCATTGCAGCATTTTGTTAATGTAAAATGAAGTTAATAATCGTTATTTTAGAATTCAGATTTGACTGTTCATTTATGATATGAAGCAATATTTAATAAAATTATATCTTTTCAAATGACAGATGATATAGTAAAATTTTAAAACCTTCATTTATGAAACTCTATAAAAACTATTTTGGTATCTTTTAACTTTTGGTGAAAAAAATTCATTATGCATACAAAATATAATTTGCAGAACAGGATGCAACCCTCTGGTGCACCGTGAAAAGTCGTAAGGTTGTAAGTCACTGGCGTAGATGGAATAAGCTCGTAAACGTGACCTGCTGCAAATCAAATCATGCATGGTTTATTGACATGGTTAAAATTTATATGGTTAGTGTATTAGGGAAACCAATAATGTCAAGTCAACGATATTTTGTATGTAGTTGATTTATAGTATCCATTGAATTAAAAGGCCTAACATATTCAGTAATTGGTCATTGACTTTCAACGTTTTCATAGTTTAAATTAGGCAACATCAGATGCTCCGGAAAGTAAGAATGTCTTGCTTCTTGTCAGACACCCTGTGTTTCTCACAATGGTCATATTCTGGAATGGGAGAAAGGATATATATATGACAAGTGCACTGTTGTCATTCAGTACACTATGACAACTGTTGTTAGCTGGAAGAATCCTTATATTTCCAATTGGTCATAAGGTCTCCCTGAAATGATTGAAATGAGACTTGAGAGATGACTAGGAAAATCATAATGATTTTGAGTTCTGCAGGTCAACAGTAAAATCACAATGTCTATAAATAGATCTTTCACTGGACAAATTATGTCTTGAAAGTACTGTGAATTCAGAAATTATTGCAAGCATTTATTATTGCGATTCTAGACCAAAATGCAATTTTGATTTTTGAGATATTGAGAAAAATCCCACTTCATTCATATAAAAAATTCCAAAATGGGAGTTCAACATGTTTAAATTATTTCGATTACAACACTGTAGCATTTTTCGCAATAATAAAAACATCACAATAATTTCTGAATTTCCAGTAACTAAGTCTGTCTAAAAGAGGGACGAAAGATACCAGAGGGACAGTCAAACTCGTAGATCGAAAAAAAACTGACAACAATCTAAATACCCTGCAGGCACACTTTGTTGAATCAACGTTGAGTCTTTGTTGATTTTAGGTTATACATAGATCAACAAATATTCAAAATTGATTCAACGTTGACAATTCAACGTTGAAATTAGAACAATGTTTCAACGTTGAATTAACATTGTGTTGAAACACCAACATTGAATCGACGTTGGCTAAACAATATATGAAACCCAGTAGTTGTGGATACCAGAATTGTCAAAAAAGAAGTATTGGGCACATCACAATTCTTTTTAAACTGACAACGATATTCACATAAAATAGAATATTCAGTAGATTTATCACTAATTGTCGTGGTGATTATAGAATTATATATAAAACAATCGCAGTGTATATCAGCATAAATTAATCATGAACTTTGCACCCAAAATAATAGAAATTCCCAAATTTCACCCCACCCCAAGACATAATAAATTAATAGAACCAGCTTGCATACAGAATCATACAGTAAATATAAATATTTATGAATAACCCCTTCCCCTAAAAATATGCTCCCTTTTTACGTGGCTGCTGATGTCAAATATCTTGTTTTCATTCCTTTTTTTTTGCCCCCTTTTTACGTGGCTGCTGATGTCAAATATCTCGTTTCTATTCATTTTAACGATCTAAAAAGAAAGACGTATACATCAGTACATAAACAATGGTTGATAACTTGTAATATAAAAAACCGATAGATCTATTGGAATAGTAATTTAAATTTTTAACATTTCTATTTTAAGACAAATTCAGTTATGCGCATGCGCAGTTGTTTTTGTTGCCAAGTTTGAATATCCGCTTTCGAGAGCACAAGGTGATTCTACAGAGTTTTTATCAATATCTTTCCTGTATACAGCTTTTATATTTTATCGTAAGTATATATAAATTGTTGTAATTACAGTAAATACAGTATCGTATTTTAGAAATGTGAGCATATCATGTTGTTATGAAAACTGTACTGAAAAGTTTTTACACGAGGAAAAGAGAGAGATGTTTAGCATGTTACCATTCCCGATTTTCCATGCAACGTCTCATGAATTTTTATCGTTGACTATTTGAATTCATCATATGATTGAATCAAAAGTAAAAAGAAATTTTATCTTTATTTACCTGTTCAATTCAGTAACACGAAATCTCATAAAAAGGGGGGCTTGAGTTTTTTTACAAAATTGGGATGGAAAGGTCAGAAGCTATATAGCTCACCAAGTTGGATCTTTAATATTTTACTGTCAAAATTATGTCAAAGATGAAGGGTATATCATATATGAGGGTGGTAAAGAGTTATTTGCGTGCAACGTTTTTGGCCTTTTTATTTCTCGTTTTAACTTCTTGTCTTTGGTTCGACATGCGTTAATTGTGTTTCCCCTTATTTATTTTCCGCGTTTCGTGTTGGTACTCTTAATTTCTCGTGCTTGTCCCACATTTGATAAAAAAAGTAAACCGGGACTAAATTCCAAGTCAGTCTGGATTTTTAAATTATGTGTTCCCAGGATATTAATTGCTATCAAGTTATGAATAATTTTTTTTCCAAATCGGATGCAACAAGCAGACGCGAAAAGGTGACCGCTGAGTAATAACTTCTAGTACTTTTTCCTTAATATTTACGATTTTATTTCTTGTGCTTAGTTTATCCCAATTTTTTTTCCGTGCAGCGTTTTTGGGATTTTTATTTCACAGGTTTTCGTGTTAAGAACTCCCCTTTACAACCCTCGTATTTGTCAATCAGACAGATATCCATGCAGCAGCACAAGTAATACAGAAAAAGACATAAGTGGATAAACCTTCAATATGTTCAAGTTAAAATGTAGTATTTAGGATTTTCTTGCAGATTATACCTTCTGGTCTATATAAAAGAAAATGTAGTTGAGATTTTGATGGAAGTTTAACTTTCATTTAGTTTTCACGAGTTCTTATGCTTTTGATTTATACTTTAAATATCATCATTTTGAAGTTATAAATAGTTAAATGTGTTGAACAGTATTAAACTTGACAATGTTATAACTTTTAATTTTGTAGATGTCATCATGAAGACCTATGGAATCACGGAAAAACAAGTGTCTGACCAAACAACAACCTTTCTAAAATTGGGCTCCAAAAAGACAGGGTGGGAGAAGAAAGAAGTTGAAGTTTTCACTATTAATAAATAAATATATTTTAATTTTATCGTATTGAATATTTCTCTATAATCAGTGGTTGGACATTAGAATACATGGAGTAGGAACAGCAAACTTTTAAATGTTTTATATTTTGATCACTCAGATATTTAAAATAGACATTGGGCAAAAAATATGTGTATTAAGGGTTGCGTGCTTTCAAAAATTAGGATAGTTCAATATTTTTTAAATGTTTTGTTTTTATTTTTGCTGATTTTTTCAATATTTCTCTGGGATGATAACTTGTGTTTTTATATGCATATAGTTAAATGTTAAAACAAATCTTGGGGGTTAAATTATGGTTCGTAGGAAAACCCTAAAGACACATATTTGTTATTCAGTTGATTGGTTGTTGACATCATCATGGTCAAGCCATGCTCTTATCACAAGAATGTGGTCTCTCAGTTTTATTGTTGAAAATTCTTCTACGAGTAATTGACAGTCAATGCATATATTCAAAGTTTTAATTGTTACCTATTGTTAACAAGACAATCATCAACCAAAGAACATTATTTATATATCTTTGGGTCACCATACAGTCTTCAACAACGAGCAAAAGCCCACACCATGTCAAGTATGACCAGGCAATGATATTATTAAAAGTTCATCAATTTTTTTCTGAGATTAATTTTTATACTTTGGTCTGATGGAGCAGTTACTGGATAAAGTTTCCTGCGGCAGAATGTTGCTATGACATTTAGCATGTAGAGGGCCTTGAGAAGACATTAGCTTGAATATTGCTACAGTATAAAATTATGGAATGCAACACACAGAAAATGCAGGATGAATGAAACTTAAGTTTTAGCTGGAAACACAGTTGAACACAACCACTAACCAATTTTGATTCCGTGTTGAATATGGTTTTCACCCTGAATTCAATCTGAATTCAAGGTAAGTTATTGGTTTAACAATATTGAAGCAACCATTATTCAATATTGATTCAAAGTTGTATATCAACATTGATTCAACGTATGATTTCAACGTTGATACAAATTTGCAAAATCTAATAATAATTCAACATTGATTCAACATAGAAAATAAAAATTGATTCAATGTTAAATCAATGTTGTTTGCCTGCTGGGTATAGTTTGATGATATTTACAGACTTTATATATTTTACAAGGAAGGTAGAACCAGATTAATTGATTTTGAGGTCAAAGGGCAAGATTATGAGATATAAAAATAAACTGTTCACTGTAGATATTGCTTCCGGTTAATAACTTATATTACTTAGGTTTTTGATGATGTTCATGGATATGCTACAAATGGTTTTAGATGCAATTAAGTACCTAGAGCACTGTTGTTGTTTGTTTAAATTTGAGGTAGTCAGATTTATAGTGTAGGTCACTGTTACTAGGAAAACAAATTTTGAGGAACCTACAAATTCAGCAGTCCTACATTATAAGGGCCCCGCCTAGTGGCGGGTCGCCCTATAGTGATCAGTATGTCCGTCCGTCCGTAAAAAATTGTGTCCGCTCTTAACAAAGAGAACCGTTATAATTTCATACTTTATACTTGACATGTATATTAACCAAAACCAGAGGGTATGTAATAATGTATGTACAAATTCCTAGGTCAAGGGTCAAGGTCAAAAACTTTGGTTTCAGTTGACAACCCCACGTCCTATAGTACAGATCATGTTTGCTCTATATCTTGAGAACTGTTATGATTTCAAATTTATACTTGAGATGTATATTAACCAACACTAGAGGCAGCCGGAACGCAATCATCTGATTTGTCCGTTAAAATCCCGGATATGCGACAAGAGAATCAAGTGGAGATAATTTGATGAAAAGCGGTCAACAGATGTCGCTCCGCGATAAAATGAAAATTGGCCGTGAATGACACATTGAAAAATCGCAAATTTCATTTAAAATAAACGGAATTATAGACCGATCTAGAACATATATCATCTTTAGTATTAAAGCAAAATAAATTTATAAAAAAAAGCGAGATGACATAAGCCATTTAGATAAATTCAAGCGATTATTTCCATTTTGTGTCTTTTTTTCACATCGACTGCCCTGGTCAATTTTTCAGCTCATAATCATCACACCGCCGGTTTACCTAAGTTTAGTGAAAATTAATATGACTGGGATATTTTGATAAATTGAGGCATGGAAAATAGCTACAGTATGGTCACATGACCTAACCATGCGATTTAAAATACTTAAGCGGCCTTTAAACCCCAAAGAATAATTGTAGGTAGCGGGAAAAAAAATCCTCTCCTTAATTTTGAAATATGTCCATATTTTGAACCAAATGAAACTTAATACTGGTTAAATCATTAAGAAATTATGTGATCTTGATATTTTCCCAACAATTTAACCTTTCCAGCTAATTTTTTACCTATTGTTTCCCTTTTTCTGCCCCAATGAAGTAGTCTGAAATAGAGGTCACTGTTGAAAAAGATTGTTTACAAACAATAGTTTCCACGTTTTTATCTGCAAAACGTATTTCTGACTCGTTGAAAACTTACAAGACACTAATTAATAAATTTCAAGTCAAATTTACACATAATATACATCATGTAACAGTCTGCATTCATTGCCTGCCACTCCAGCAGATTTCTAAATATTTGCCCATCCCCCCTTTCAATTCCATTTGATTTTACTTTAAAGAAAATAACCTACAACTAGTACAAAATTCTAGATTACATATTACAACCTGAGATAAAATCATTACAATTTAATATTTATTTATTAGTCTAGCAAGTTGCACTTATGACCTCTTAATTTCAGTCTAATATTACAGCAATATAGTACGTCTTGACTTCCAGAAGCTTTCTTTCCATATATTATATATATATATATATATATGTATTGTGTGCTTAAGCGTATTTTACTGCTAACGGACGTCGTGACAGCAGAACGGTTTCGCGACTTGTATTCTGACCAGATTTGACTGCAAATTTTTGTTTATTTCAATTTTATTTATTTTCTGGTAGTGTAAAAAGGTTTTCTATGTTAATTTATCTGTTTTGATTTATTAATTTTAATTTTTTTTATACAATATAATTAGTTTTATTTTTGATTAAAAAGAATATTATTTGTGATACTTATTTATAAATGTAAAAAAGCCACGCAAAAAGAACTGTGATATTGTTCATGAAGGTAGACAGCCTGGACCATGTGTTCACTGTGGAGAGCATGAAAGATCAGACAGGTATACCCATCTTATACAGAAAAAAGACAGTTTTCCTGATTTGTACGCCTTTGTGAAAACAGCATATAAAATTGAAGATCAAGGATGCATTTGCAGGAAATGTGAATTACTATTCACCAGAAAATGTGATCAAAACATGCATGTAGGTCAAAATATGGAAGATGAAGCTACTCCGGTTGAAAAACAGTATGTTCAACACGAAGGCTCTGCTATCAAGAACAAGCACGTGTGCTATCTTGCTAAAGCCAACTTGTGCAATAAAGATGAAAAACTTAAGACATATCATCTGTCGATATTGGATCTTTCGAAAAATGTTTTCACATGGAATTTGACAAAACATTTATCCAACTAGGAAATAGATAAGTAACAATTGACCTTTGTCATACTCATTACATGCAATTCAAAAATTATGCCGCAAGATCGAACTGCTGTATATGTGAAAGAAGCACTGCTAAGACATGTAAGATGAAAACTGTAAATGTAGAGGACCGACTGGGACTATTACAGTTGTATTTAACACAAGAGTTACAGAATGAAACACTTATTTCAGAGGAAAAACCTGTGCTCTTTCTTTCATGCTACAAAGCCTACATTAGTTACACGAAGTCTGATGACATGGAAAAGTCTTGATCAAACACAGATGAGTATTTAACAGACTGCCTTTCTGTTATTGATGTTACGGAGTGTGATAGAATTAACATAGATACATACTGTTACCAAAAAATCTTGCAATATGTAATCATCAGTTTCCTATCATATAAGCCACTATTATTACACAAACTACATTCTAATTATGTATCAGAGGTAGACAAAGCAATCGATGAGTTCAGTCTAGTTGTGAATGATGATCGTCTTTGAGCAATACAGCATCGTCGAGAATGGCTGTTTACAATGTTGAAATCTAGTCTTGGACCTGCTCTTTGTGTGTATACTCCACCAAAAAAAAAAACCAAGGAAGGATGATTTACAGGCGTGGAACCGACCTGCTTCAGTGTTTACACTCCTCTATTTCTGACCATAGCAGAGAAATTGATGAGCTTAACGAAAAGATAAATGCTTTGGTAAATAAAGTGAACAGTAACATCACAAACATAGCAGAAAACTCTTCCTTGAATTCAATGGAATGCCTGGATAAGACTGTCAGACTGATGAAAAACCATGTAAAGCTGTATGTTCAAGATTCAATGAAAACACAACTACCAGATATTCATTGCTTTGACTTATATGAGGAAATTAGGAAAGTAAATCCTACATAATGGACCTTCATCTATGTAAAACCCAGGCAGAGTGTGATTTATGACCCCTTTCAATATGCATGAAAATGGTCCTCATAAGTGGGAGTCATGTAAAAAAGAAAAAAAATGCACATTTTTTTCAAAATTATAAATGGTTGCCATGGTAACTGCCAAGGCAAAATTTCATAAAAAAAAAGGCGTTTTTTTTAAAAAATCAGCCAACTTTATTCATTATTTTTCAGGCATATATTTTGCCAACAAAATTAAAACAATTCATTTTCAAGACAATGTGATACACATACAATCAGATTGTAAAAACAATATTGTGACCTCAGTTGTACATTTCGGGTAAATTTAGGTTGAACTTTGAACAAAATCCTCAAATTTCTACTTTTTACAAATTGTGAAGTTTACCATGTATAAATGATTTAATTTCTTTAGTTACCAAGTTTAATATTTCAAATCATGTACTGTACATTATTTATCAAAACATAATAATTTAAAAAAATTATTCAAACTTTTGAGATCTATAAGCATTTTTGGTTGCCATGGCAACACAAATACTACATTTTAGGCTAAGCCTAAACTTAAAATTTCAGTATGTTGAAAC